CTCCCGTGCACAGCCGACGATCGCGAAAGGGAAACCCCTCTTCAAACTCATCGGCCAGATCCACCTGCGATCCCCACTAGCTCATTCTCCTCCTTGCCTCAGCAGCGGCGGGTCATGGGAACTTCGACGCAGTTTGAAGTTCCCATGAAAGGGAACAGGTTGCTGTTTCTGTGTGCTGTAGTTTGTTTCATAAGGTTGGGCTGTTATCTGTTGCCATTGCAATGTATAGTTGACCTATAACGCGTGTGCAGCCTCCATTCTCTTGTGTCGAATTGAATGTTTGTTTGTTTTTCTCGGAAGGAGCTGCAATTTACCTTACCAACATCAATAACCTGGAAACCACAGCAGGGAGTTGGAATCAAGCATGCATTCATGGAAGATTTATGTATGAAATACACTAAATGCCAGAAAATAAAATGTGTGCATAGTCACGACTTTACCTTATTTTTTACTTTCTCAATTGCTTGTGCAAAATTTACATTTAATTTTTATCTTAACAAAAAAAAAGTAAGACAAAAAATAAACCTTTCTAAGAAAAATGTGAGATGATTTATGATGCTGTTGTCAGAAAAGTAGCTCTGAAACTGTTCTATAGTATTCTATAGTAGCATGTAAAGGGAACTTTTTTTTTTTTACAATATATATATATATATATATGAAGAGTTTATTTGCAAAAACACAACTCTTTTTTTAATTTTCAAAAATCATGTTTTTTTTATTGTGTAATCATGTTTTTATTGTGTTAGTTAGCTGTAATTTGTAGTTATTTTTTAACTTAATCAAAATAACCCAACTGCAGTTTGGTTGAGATTAATCAGAATGCACAATGAAAAAAACATGATTTTTGAGAATTGTTAAAAACTGAGTTATCTGTCTTTGCAAATGAACACTTCATATATATACAATATATTTTTTTACAATGTACAATATATTTATTTCTTACTTTATTTATTGCTTTTGTGCTTTCAGTTAATAAAGCATGTCTGTAAGCCTACAAGACAGTATTGGGGAGTCAGTAAAAACACCATACATTTAACATTATAGAAGTATAAGACATAGAATGAATTAATGAATGAATATTGAGGAAAGAAAAAACGGTCTGGTTTGTGGTTTATAATTTGATGTTTGTTCATGTTAATGGATGTAATTTATCCACTCAAGCCTTTCATTTGCATGTTTAAAAAAATTATAAATATTGTGACCTACTAAAAAATTACTAACACACAATGTGTTATGATTTTTTTTTTTTAATTGCTATAGTCTTCATGTATTTGTACAATAGTTGTATGTCTTCAATTTTATTTGCTGTTCTGATTTAAATCTGTTTGTTGGTAAATCATTGTTATGTTTTTTTTCTCCCTAAGAATTAGAAAGGCTAAAATTAAACAAGGGTCTTAGTTGTATATGACATAATGTCATTAAAATACAGAAAATTAAAAAATGTCCTGTTAGGGTGGTTTGTGGTAAGAACAGCACACTCTTAAAAATGCTGGGTTAAATACAACCCAGTGCTTCTGATACACCAGATGACTAATGTTCAGAATGAGAATGCTCAGCCAATTGGTCAAAAGATTTTTATTAACTTTCTCTCTCTCAGTCTCTCACATCTTCAGCTAAGCAGAAGTTCTAGTTTTCCACATGTTGATCAAGTCTTTAATTTAGAAAAAAATGTAACTTATGAAGGTCTTGGTGGGGTAAACTCGTATGGTGACCCATACTCGGAATTAGTGCTCTGCATTTATCCCATCCTACACTCTAAAAAATCAACCGGGTTAAAATCAACCCAGTGCTGGGTAAAATGGGGACAAACCCAGCAATTGGGTTGTTTTGACCCAGCGGTTGGGTTACTACCTAGAAGGTTGGGTTAAACATTGAACCCAACCGCTGGGCCAAAACAACCCTATTGCTGGGTTTGTCCCTATTTTACCCAGCACTGGGTTGTATTTAACCCAGCATTTTTTAGAGTGCACTTGAGTAATCTGTATTTGTCTATAAATCTAACTGTATAGGGGGGAAAAAAACTTTTTAAAATCCAGATTTACAATATTAGGCATATAAGACCGTGAGCAACATAAATTCAATAACGTGTGCCCCAACATTTGACTGGCATGCATGTACACTCTAAAAAATGCTGGGTTAAATACAACTCAGTGCTGGGTAAAATAGGGACAAACCCAGCAATTGGGTTGTTTTGACCCAGTGGTTTGGTTAAATGTTTAACCCAACCTTCTGGGTAGTAACCTCATTTTATATACTGTTTTTGTATGAAACCATACACTCTAAAAAATGCTGGGTCAAAACAACCCAATTGCTGGGTTTGTCCCTATTTTACCCAGCACTGGGTTGTATTTAACCCAGCATTTTATAGAGTGTATGGTTTCATACAAAAACAGTATATAAAATGAGGGTCTAAGCCTAATTTGAGATGTGGCCTACTGTACATAGATTTCATAAACACTCAGCTGTACCCCAGGCGACCACGCGATGTCTCTGTTTCCCAAATAACCGGAGTGAAGCGCGCTCTTTTACCTTAGAAACGATTTGTCCTCCGAGTCTGCATTATTCCCCTCCTGCAGTGCGTGCGCTTAATAGATATCGCTAATAATCTGTCTAGGAAATCAACGCCACATCTCTCAGATGCCACTCTGCCGCATGCATTCGGGTTAATATGCGAATAACAAAAACCATTATGTCATACTTCGCATGACTAAGCGCACCTCTCCTGTCTGCGCGGTATGATCGGAATGCGTGACGCGGCCTGTGCGTGAACCTGTTCCGCGCGCCAGGACCGTAAGAACAGGTGGTACTGAAGGATTTGAAAGCAGCATCTGTCAGTGTCGCTTTCGAGTTCAGTTGTTTAACTCAGCAGAGCGTTGAAATGTTTGTGGTTGCGGTGTATCACCGTTCTGCGTCCAAGGAAACAACGCTGTAAACACGTTCAGGTAAGAACGCAGCTGAGATGCAAGCGTGTAGCTGGTGCGTAGTGTCAGCTGTAAACATTCACTCAAAATGAGTGAAAAAAAGTCCTGTCATTATTTACTTACCCTCGTTTTCTGTCAAACCCGTTTGACTTTCTTTTTTACGTGGAATACAAATGAAGGAGTCAAGACCGAATGACAGTCTCAGTCATAATTTACTTTTATCGTCTGGAGAAAGATGTATTAAAAACGAAAGGCTGTCCGTCTCTAGCATCCTCTCTGATGCCTCTTCATTTGTGTTGCTAGAAAGAAAGTTGAGGTGTTGAAACCACATGAGGGCGAGAAAAACAATACGTTCTTTCTTTCTTTAAACAGTGTTGTTTTCATATTACACTCTACGAAATGCTGGGTAAAATAGGGACAAACCCAGCAATTGGGTTGTTTTGACCCAGCGGTTTGGTTACTACCCAGAAGGTTAGGTTAAACATTGAACCCAACCGCTGGGTCAAAACAGCCCAATTGCTGGGTTTGTCCCTATTTTACCCAGCACTGAGTTGTATTTAACCCAGCATTTTTTAGAGTGTAATGTCAAGTAAATATAACTGCTCAAATGTCATTAAGGAGTTTCTTAATATATTTTTATTATAGGGCTAATTATGTATCATGTTATAAATGCAAATTGATTGACGTAGAGGATTATTTTTCATATTCAGTTCATTCCGTGAATTGAAGTGTTTGCTTCTCATATGAAAACTGGCTAATATAGATTCATGAAGTTTTTCTTATACGTTTTGTGTTATCGCTTAAGATATGTTAAAACCATACTCATAGTGTGTAGTGTTGTGTTTCATTTTCTTGGTGTGTTACATTAATAAATAAACTGAAAAAAGCCTCCACATTATACAGCTGCAGTCTGAGGGGATTTGTGCAGTTGACATGAAACCTCAAGGAGTGACAGCAGCATCTAACAGTGTAATGTGCTATACATCTTCTGAAAACTAGTTTAAAGTTGGCATGAAATGGAAATTCACCCTGTCTATTTACCACAACATTTTATTGCATATACAGTTCCAGTTATAGGACAAATTATTAGACTGTAATTGTGTAAACATATTTGTAAGAATTCAATTATTCCTGCTTTGTTAACTGTAACTGGCCTTTGGTAACTAATCTAAACATTTGCCAACATTTCGCTGAGGAATGTTCTTAAGAACTTCAACCAAATTTTGTTCCTCTGAAGTACCAAAAGAATCATTAATGGAATAATTCAAGAACTGAGTCATGATGAGAATTCTGAATCAGAATCATTAAATTCTTTATGATTGATCTCCATGCATGTAGCCATCCAGAAACCTATGCAGCTCTTATCAGGATATGTGACATAATAGTGATTTAATCACGTTTTTGAGTTACAAGATACTATCAGTGTTGTGATTGTAGCTAAACGTTATAAATGCTTCATACTTTGCTGCTCTTATTGACAGTAGACCTTTCATTATTTGGTTTAACCCACTTTTGCCATACTTGCATGCATGCAAATATTAATATTTTGGTTTATTCATTTTATGTTCCAACTATTTTTTTTTTTGTCTATTTTTGTTTGTCCAAATGTTTTCAGTGTGGTCTCAAACAGTGATGGGTAGATTACTTACAAATTGTAGTCTGTTACTGTTATTGATTGTTACTGATTCATGACAAAAATTTTAATTAGTAACATTATCCATTACATTACACATTTTATGTAATCTAATCAGACTACTTGATTATATGAATGAATTTGTGCGTTTTAATGTGTTTGAAATACAAAAGCCTTCCAAAGACAAAGGATTGTGTGAATAACGTAATCGTAATCAATAAAAAAGTAACTGTAGTCTGATTACGAGTATTTTAAAATATAATCTGATCACAAGTACTTAATTTTTGGAATCGGATTGTGTAGTCCAAATTACATGTAATCAGTTACTAACCAGCACTGGTCTCAAACTTATAGACTGTAAGCTTCAAAGTTTATGGTCTCACTTTATATCGATTTTCACATATAATCTATAATCATGTCCATTTACACCATGGAGTTCACTCTTAAAAATAAAGGTTCCAAAAGGGGGTTTTCACAGCGATGCCATAGAAGAACCAGTTTTGGTTCCCCCAAGAACCTTTCAGTGAACAGTTCTTAAAAGAACCTTTTTTTTTCTTAGTGTGAAGAACATTTTTATAATCTAAAGAACTTTTTTGCACTGTAAAGAACCTTTTGTGGAATGAAAAGATTCCATGGTTGGTAAAGGTTCTTTGTGGAACCATTGATGCCAATAAAGAACCTTTATTTTTAAGAGTGTTGTTAGGATGTATCTGAAATGGTTGGTTTAATGGCTTTTGTGCTTTAACGACTCTGACCATCAAGTTGGTGAGAATTTCCTGGCCACATGGGGCATTTGTTTACTGCCATTGAGTGTGTGTGTGTGTGTGTGTGTGTGTGTGTGTGTGTGTGTGTTGTGCACCAGCTCTTGAACTCCTGCCGTCCAGTCAGCTTCATCCTGCACAGGCATCACTTCCTTCCCAATGGCTACTGCAGTCAATCTGTGTATTCATCAAAGCGTGTGTGTCTGCAGTGGTCCTATCTGGATCCCCACTGCTAAAATCCCACCTCCTCCCAGCTGACCCTCCCATCCCCCTTCCCACACACCCGTGCCACATGAGGCCCTGCAGTGTGACTCAGTGGACAAACTTACACCAGTCTGAGAGTCTGGGCCAGGCTTTCCCAAGCCACACACCTCAGTTTGCCAGCGCAAGAGACACCCAGGGTTAGGCTTTCCCATTCTGTAAAGGTAATGATGCATTTGGTTGTTTTCTTGGGATTGTTCTTGCAGTAAACCTGTCATTTCTTTACTCCTTCTTAAGTAGGGGTTTGTCATACTGCAGTGCAGCACTGTGAGAGATCTCGGCGCTTGAGCGTATGCTCTGTGCCTACATGCTGAGTTTGTGGTTTTCGATTTGAGCATGCTGGCCTTGAGCACTTGCTACAAGTATGTTGTTTCCTTATTAATGTCTACGGATGTGGTAAAATTGTGCTTAAGAGTGTTTGGTTGTGTGTAGATGTGCTTGCAGTTTTGTGTGCATATAGGTGTAGCTGAAATTGTAACAAAGGTGCTTATAATATATAGACCTGTAATTATCAATGGCTGCACAAATATCATAAAGTTTGCTTAACCAGACTTTGACCTCACTTGTATTGTACTTGTATTGCAAGTTTTAATGATTTTATCATAATGAACTGAATTGCAATCTAAAGCTGTCTTTGGTAGCATGTTTTTTTTTTTAAGTCTTTGGACACATGGAGTTTCACCCCCTCTGGATAGGTGACAATAGAGCACTCAGCCCTTTATGGGTGGTCCTTATAATGTGTGATGGCAGAGTCTGCATGGTTTATGTGTGCAATAGGCTTGATTGATGATCAGTTTGAACTTCTTTGTGATGAGTGAGCTTAAAAGGTGAGTTCATAAGGGGCATTCACACTGACAGCTAATTGGACATACAAAGCAATCAGAAGTCATTGATTTTCACTGAGTCCTGGCTGTTTGAGTTCATATTTTTCAAATGCTCAGTGACTTTCAGTGGGAAAGCTCTAAATATGGTTACATGTGCAGTTATTATTTTGTGGGTTTTTGCCTAATTGAGCTAGTATTGTTATTGTTGATAAACTATTTAAATTATTTAAACTATTTTCATTTTTAATTTGTTTAAAAGTGTTCAGTAATTGACATAAAGCTCTCTCTCAAGTCAAGTCAAGTCAAGTTGAGCTTTATTGTCATTCTGCTGCATGTGGGGACATACAGTGGAACGAAATGTCGTGCCTCACAGGACCACGGTGTTACATAAATACAGGCATACAACAATGAAGTAAAACAGTAAAAACCTATACAGTAAAGCAGTAAAAACCTATACACAACTAACCTACTGACTGATTTTGATTATAAATATACTATATATATATATAAATGTTTACCTATACATAAGTTAAAAAAATACAGACTATACGGATGCTTCACATAAACACTGTACCTATACACAGCTAACCTACTGACAGATTTTGACTATGAATATACTATATATAAATGTTTACCTATGCATAAATAAAAAAAAATAATAATAATAATAATAAAATCAAATAAAATACAGACTATACGGATGCTTCACATAATACTGTACATGTGCAAAGAGAAACATCGTAAGTCAAGCAGCTGGCTGGGGAACAGTGCAGATGATTTGTAGTGCATGAGCATGTAAACACAAAAATTTAAGGGGGTCTGAATACTTTCCGTACCCACTGTATATATATTTTTTTCTGTTAGTTTTAAATTCAAAATATATCATTTTAAAGTTTGAGTTGAAGTACTAGTTGAAGTGCAAGTATATGACTCATAAGACAGCCTTCGTGCTTTCAATGCTTAGACAGCTGCAGCTCATCCAGAACGCTGCTGCCAGAATTCTGACTTTTTCTTCTTCTAACAGAAGTCTGACTTGTACTTTTACTCGTTTATAAATCACTCAATGGCCTAGGACCCGGCGTTATGCAAATCTTCCCACATAGTGAGGTAGACATGTGGGGGCGTGTTAGAACGAGCCGTTTTAGGTAGGTGTGGCTGACTCTGAACTTTTATAAAGAATATCTCTTTGGATTTGAGACTTTAGTCTTTGCAACTTTACAGATCTTCTTTATGCACCAAGAGCTTGTAACACTCCAAAGAGAAAGGAAAAATTGAAATCGCATCATATGACCCCTTTAAAGCTGAATAAAAAATGAATAAAATGACAAAATCACATATCAGAATTATTCAAATGTAAAATTAAAATTAAAATAAATATAAAAAAAATGAAAATATTAAAAATTCACAATATTAATGCTATAATAGTATACAAATAATATGAATCAAGCTAAAGAATATTGTCCAAGTATATGACTCATAATTGCATATTTGAAGGGTTAAATACATGTTGTGCATCACACTTTTAAATACATTTCATTAGAAATGTAAAAACCTCCTCAATTTTCTTGTTAGACATCCCTGCTATGGCGAATTCCCTGAAGGTAAATGCAACACTGACGGCAGAGGGGGAGATCTTAGAGGAGAAAGAGGGAGCTAAAGAAATGGATGATACCTTGGATGAGCCTGCAGAGGAGGAAGAGGATGAAGAGGAGAGGAAGGCACGGGCCGCAGCGGAGGAGGCAGCAGCCAGAGAGAGAGCCGCTCAGAGGCAGCTCATGGCGATAGAGGAGCTGGTGCAGACTGAGAGGAACTTCCTGAAACATCTGCAGCTCTGTACGGTCACCATCCACAGCAACCTGCAGAAACTACAGGTAGACAAGCTCCCTAGCAGCCGTTTCACACATCACGTCCATTAAATTGCAGTAAAAGTCCTGATTTAACTTATCCGGACACATCTGTTATTCATAAGACCAACGACCTTCTGTGTTATATGTTGCTTCCACCACCACTGAAATACCATCAAAGCACATTCTTCATTGATATCATTCTTATGTTATTACAAACATTAACAATCTAATCAGATAATACAACAGTTAGTTCTGGAAAAGTTATATTTAACACATGGCCTCTAAATTAAAAAAAAATATGCAATGGATTTTCAGAAGGTGCTGTGTGTGTGTGTGTGTGTGTGTGTGTGTGCGTGCATTCATTCATTCAAATTCAGTGTTTGTTATTTTCATTTTAGAAACATGAACATCAAATAATTTTGTTCTTACATTAGTTACAGGCCACAACTTTTAACAGACATCGTCAAAAACCAAGTAAACATGCATACACAAAAGTATACACAAAAGTCATATTTAAGGGACAAAATATAAATAAAAAATTATGATGACAACATATAACAAGAATAATAAAAAAAAATGTTTTAATATTTTTTTCAATCCAGCTGAGAGGAATGTGAAATTAAATTGATTTTTTTTTTAATTATTATTATTACTGAGTGTATACCTCATAAAGGAGACTAAATGATTTAGCTTTGATAATATCATATATTATTGGGTCTCTTGCAGCCTCCTCCTCCAAACCTGGAGAACATGTTCCAGCACATAGATGAAGTGATGGATGTTTCCAGCAGACTCCTGAGCCTCCTCGACCAGGCACAGATACATCACAGCGACCCAAAATACCTGGAAGCACTCTGTGAGTACAGCCGGACCGACTGGAATTTCCAGTTCACTTTCAGTTTACAGTCACACTCTCTGTGTGTCATGCCCACCCACAGATTAAACTACTTGTTACCCTTGAGATCATGAGTCAAGAATCCAGAACTTGAGTTTCAAGATGAAAATGATGATGTCTGATGTATGGAATGTTTACATTTCTTTACATCCTTTTTGGAGCTTGATAGTCTAAATAACCATACACTTCCACTACTGTTTAAAAGTTTGGGGTTGGTTTAAAAAAATTTTGTTTTTTTAAAGAAGTCTCTTATGTTCACCAAGGCTGCATTTAAGTGATGATAAATACAGTAAAACAGTAATATTTTGAAATATTATTACAATTTAGAATAACAGTTTTCTATTTGAATATATTTTCAAATGTATTATGTAAAATGTAACTTATTCCTATGATGCAAAGCTGAATTTCCAGCATCATTACTCCAGTCTTCAGTGTCACATGATCTTTCAAAAATGATTTGAAATAAATTGTAACATTATAAATGTCTTTACTGTTACTTTTGATCAATTTAATGTGTCCTTGCTGATTAACGCATTTAATTTTTAAAGCATTTTTTTTAAATACTGACCTCAAACTGCAGTGTATGTTGTATGGAAAAGATCTTGTTGTATATTAGAAATGATCTTAATCTTTCTCTTAGGCGATTCTTTCCTGAGTCTGTCTCAAGACATAGAGATGGCTTATAAAGAGTATCTTGCCAACTACAACAACATAACAGCTCTAGAGAACAGCTACAAACAGAAAGAGACGCTGTGGGTGGAAATGATCCGAATCATCAAGTCATCTGCGTAAGTTCGTAAACAACAACCTACCGAGCTTGTGTAGAAACTGAACACTGATGAGAGCAGAATGAGTTCCTAGACAAATACGCCAGTGTATTACCCAACATTCTTGTTATTTTTGACCCCTGATCTTGTCTGTCTTCAGTCCTGATGTGAATGCATCCACTCTGAGCTTCTTCCTGGTGATGCCGGTTCAGAGAATCGCCCGTTACCCGCTGCTGCTCCAGACCATCCAGAAACACACAGACCCCGGGCACCCTGCGTACCCCATACTGGAGCACGCCGCTCACACTGCGGTCCAGATCAACTGCAGGATCAATGAATACAAACGCTTCCGTGAAGTCGGTGAGAACATGCTTACAGTTTAGAAAGCTAAGTTTACTGAACCAAAGTATGCCAGTCCATTGGGAACATCAGTAGGGCCCTTTGAAATCTGTTTTATTTTTTCCCAAATTCCATTTGATTATTTTCCAAATTCCATTTTTTCCGGTTTAATTTTTATGGATTCCATTTTTTTCCTTTTTAATTTTTCTTGACTGTTTTAAAGGCACAATATGTAAGATTTTTTATTCAAATATCCAAAAACCACTAGAACAGTGTTATATATTTTGCTGACTTGTGTACTTACATTATCCCAAATGTTTCGAAGAATGTTTAAATCCAGAGAAATAAGCAAGTTTAACTAGTGACATGGAGAGTGTCTATAGTGTCATTGTGTCGCCTGCCAATGACGTCATAACCCCTCGATTTCCGGTTTTGTTTTGTAGAAAACATGGAAACACCAAAGACGCTTTAATATGTCATGTGTTTTAATAGACCGGTGACGACCGCACAGAGTACCATTATAACAGAACGTTCAAATGTATCTAGTATGATAAAACAGCGCTGCTTTACCCCACATACGCACGACCGGAAGGAGCGGAAGCAGTCGACTGTGGCATAATAAAAGCTCCGCTGCTTTCGAGCCGTGTGTCACGCTCGTTCAGCGCCTCGTTTCGCTTCGACGGCTTTCAGCCTCACCCTGCTTCATTCTACTACGTTAATAAATCATTAGCTCATCCATGAACATGATTTCTGCCCGAGTCCCGTCGGATTGCATCGGCTGTGGAGATGAAGACGACAACTCCCATGATTCCACACTCAGTCACGGCGTCATCAAACTACACCTTTGATTCTTTGTTTATTTTGAATACTCGCCCTCCAGCGGCGAAAATTACATATTGTGCCTTTAATGGTTAAATTAAATTTTATTCATCAAAAAGCATGTCTAATTAATTGAAATCATGAAACTTATACAAGTTACAGCAATTTGTTAAAAGTTTAACAAAAATCCTTTTATATTATTTTTGTTTTTGAAATATGTTTAGTTTTTTCTCAAATACAGTTTTATTTTATTTATTTATTAATTTTTTTTTACCAAATTCTGTGTTTTCATTTTCATTTTTTTCTGGATTCAATTTTAATGGTTTAATTACATTTTTATAATCAAAAAGTTTTTTTTTATGCATATTATTATTGTTTTAAACAATAATAAGTGATTTGTATGTGCGTGTATAAGATATGATGGTAGTTTTTCTCAAACAAAATGGTCAAATGCTTGTGAAGTGACACTCAGAGCAGTTCTGGAGATGAAGTTCATGTATTTATGTCCTCATTTAGTGAGACGGCAGACACTGAAAACATAGCGAGCGTCATGTGCGCTTTTGTAGGTAAAACCACAGGTCTGTGCCATTCATTCACACAGAGACGCAGAACACGCAGGATTCATATTTAAATAGTGTTTTTGCGGTTTTATATTCAGACAATAGTCCATATTGCCATTTGATTTAAATGTACTGACTTTTTTTTTTTTATTCCATAACATTCCGTGTTAAACAGTAACATTCCGTCCGCCTTTTACGCATCTGCACAGAAACATGAATAAAGTGCTTGAGGTTTTGATTTGCGTCATTGTTATCATTCTCTGACTGTCACAGCTGACAAATACAAGAAGACGGAGAACCTGACCATCAAGGACAAGATCAATCGGCTGAGTGGCCACAGCATTGCCAAGAAGACGGCCCGGTTCAGCCAGTACATAAAGCATGAGACAGGAATGGTTCCAAAGGTAACTGCCTAAGAACAATGCTTAGTGTAAACAAAGGAACAGAAATGTTTGGCATGTTGAAAGAACCACATTATTTCCATAAAGCCTATTGCCACATGAGATGTTTTTACGATAATTTCTTAATTTATACTTTTATATTGTAGTTGAAAGATGAAGAATTCGATGCCCTTGCTGGCTTCTTCTTTGTCCTGGAGAGGGGCGTCTCAGAGCTTCATGATAACCTGGAGGCCTATCTCCACCATCTGCAGGTTTGGATTTAACATTCTTACTCTTAATGAGTGTAGTTAAAAACTCGAAAAGAGCTGATCCTCTCATTTGTTTTGGTGTTCCCCCAGTGTGAAGCCAGTACGCCCATGGATCAACCTCTTAAACATTTTCCATTGTTATTCCAGCTGCTAAATGAAAGGAAAATCTGTAGGAGGGTTGATCCCAGGGCAGATGGATGGGGTTACTGAAGATTGAGGTTCAGAGGATGGCTGTGCACTTGAAGTGTTTGTAACTGTCTGAGCTGTGTTTCTGTGTACAGAGGTTCCTCAGCTGCAGACCAGAGGAAGCAGATCTTGATCTGGAAGGAGAGAAAACCACCTTGTTCTCTAAAGAAATCACAGTGGCACTCAGACAGTGGATCTACCCCTCATATGTAAGACCTTCACTATTGTTAGTGATAAGGTTGCAGTTCTATTGGCCGATTAAAGGTGCTGTGAGCAATTTCTGAGAAACGCTGTTGAAAGTTGATTGAACCAAGCACAGAAACACACTTTTAGCCAATCACCAATAAGGGGCGTGTCCACTCGTGATGGGGAGGTGCCTGTGTTGCATATCATGTTTGTGAATTAGGGGGCGGAGCTATCAAGATAGGGGTGTGATCCATTTGGGTAGGGCGTGTTTGATTTGTTAATTTAAAATATCAACAACATTTCTCATAAATCGCTTACTGCACCTTTAAGATTTCTTGGGAATAATTTAAAATCCTGACCATAACCCAGCTCTAGGCTTCACAGCTTTTACAACAAAATGAGTATAAGACTTTAGTTATTTAATATGGTGTGAATGAAACAAGGCTGTGAGTGACAGAATATCAGTCGACCCTTTGCAAAGGCCCGCCCCCCTTAGTTACTGTTGCTACGTTCAACAAGCTAAGGCGCTCTCATGCCACACATCATGTTCTCACGCAGTAAAAAATACATTGCGGAGCAAAGAGGAAACTAACAACGTGCTGATAGACAAGACAGAGCAGGTTACTTTTGGTATGAAACAAAGTCTCAGCTTTCAATTTTTTTTAAAGAAATTTAAACAATAAATACCGTTTTGAGTCTTTAATGTTTCGTGACCAATTAATGTTGCACCTCAGTTCAAGTGGCACATGAACCCATCATCTCTTCCTATTTACTAGTTATGCCATGAAATGAATGAACATCAGAAAGTACCTTGTTTTAACACGGAAGGGCGTCAATACACCATTTTTCAAGTTCAAGTCCACCGATGTTAATTTACTCTCCTGACTGGTTTGTTTGTTGGACAAATGGTCAGATTCGGTGTTATGATTGGTCAGATCACCTGTCAATCAAACTCCTGGCGAAATGTGAATTCATTTTTTTTTTTTTTTTTGTGTAATGTAATTTTGTAGGCCAGCCTGTAAATTAGGATGAAACCTGGTTCCCTCGACAAAAATGATTATTGCAGAAAATAAGCTCTGTGACCAACAAACATTTGTGATATGTACATGTTTTGTGTGATTTTAAACACCGTGAGGCTGTAAAAACAGACTAGTGGGTAGATGAGTTTACTTGTTTGCTGTGATGACGTTTGATGTCCCCAACAACCTCTTTCCCTCTAGCCCCATTAAGCCACTTGTTAACAGCCACCTTTTCAAGAAACAAAACGTTAAAAAAAATCGTTGGGTCATATTGATTAATTTTCTTGTAGAATACGGTGTGAAATTATTTTGAGCCTGTGTTACAGACCTTATTTCAGACATTTAACCACAAAACCCTTTGACTTAGGGGCCATGGTACTGGAAGTGCAAAACTGCTAACTCATTTCAAGGCTGTAGTACTCATTCCTGCAGCACTCTGTAAATCTGTCAAATTAAATATGGCATCTCTGACAAAAGTCTGGAACACCAACATTTGTCACAGCTTTGGTCATGAGACAGTATTTCTTCACTGTGGTCCTTCTATTTTCCACTTTAGTGTTTCTCCATATATCAGTGTCTAATCCTTCTGGAACAAATACTGCTGCAAAAATACCATGTATCATGTAAGAGTACTAATTTTTCCAAGATCTTTTAACTGTTTACCAGCCATTGAAATTATGGTAGTACACAGCACCCATTTTAGTGGTATGCTTTTTATATGAGAAGGCAGCAGTGATTTATTTAAAGTAGGGCTGTGCAATTAATCGCATGCGATTGTCATGCGCATCTCGTCAGTAAAGCTGGTTCTGTGATTAGTAGTAAATCTCCATCACCTGCTTTCAGATGGAGCGGCATTTACTACACGGAGCCGTAGTTCACTGACAAGCTACGCAAAATCGTGTTCTTAATCGCAGGCGATTCGATCTGCGATAATGAACGCGATATTGCCGATACCGCTCCATCTAAAAGCAGGTGATAGAGATTTACTACTAATCACGGATCCGGCTTTACTGACGAGAAGCGCATGACAATCGCATGCGATTAATTGCACAGCCCTAATTTAAAGTAACTAGTTTTTATTATATCGCTGATCAATTGTCAGTAATTGATTAAACATCTCTGGTATCTTGCCTTCTGTACTTACTTTGTACATCTCCTTTGCTGCCACTTATAGGAGGACCGTTTGAAGACTTTAGTCTTTAAGCCCTTGAGCTCACTGCGGGAACTGATGGCAGGACCACGTAACCTCATCCGCAAACGTCAGGACAAGCTTCTGGACTATGAGCTAATCGAGGAGAAGAGTAACCTGAACTTTGAGGAGCAAGCCATAGCGAACACCTACAAGACCATCAACACTCTCCTGCTGACCGAGCTGCCGCAGTTCAACAGCAAAGCCCTGCAGCTCCTGTGGGCCACGCTAGAGGCCTTCAGCTGCCTGCAGAGAGACCTGGCGGCGGATATGGAGCAGCTGGCCTCCAGCTTCACCCATCAGGTACTTTTTACAGAAGAAGCTAAAATATTGAGGTTTAGAGATAACCAGGTGAATATTTAATTTCTGTAGTACCTAATTCTAGATATAATCACAATATACAGTGGTGGCCAAAATTATTACAACACTAGAATTTTCTCCAGCTAAAAAATAGTTTTAAGTCAGTTATTCTATCTTTTGCTGTAGCGTGTCAGTAGGAAATATCAGTTTACATTTCCAAACATTCATTTAGCCATTAACTGTAATAATCCAGTGAGATTTTTGTCTGACAACAGCCAGTGCTCCACACAGAGATCTGATCTGATCATCATCCAGTCTGTCTGGAATGACATGAAGAAACAGAACAAACTGAGATGGACTCAATCCAGAAGAACTGTGGACAATCTCCAAGACGTTATGTCATATGTCATAAATATATTTTCTTTATCAATTAACTTCTATTAACTAAACGAAATCAACATTTAGTGTGAATATCATTTGCGTTTAAAACAGCTTTTGCCCTCGGTGCACTTGCACATAGTTTTTCAGGTAGCTTTGCAGGTAGGTTTCTTGAAGCGTCTTGGAGACGTTGCCACAGTTCTTCTGGATTGAGTCTGTCTCAGTTTGTTCTGTTTCTTCATGTCATTCCAGACAGACTGGATGATGATCAGATCAGATCTCTGTGTGGAGCACTGGCTGCTGTCAGACAAAAATCTCACTGGATTATTACAATTAATGGCATGTTTGGAAATGTAAACTGATATTTCCTACTGACACGCTACAGCAAAAGATAGAAATAACTGACTTAAAACCATTTTTTAGCTGGAGAAAAGACTAGTGTTCTAATAATTTTGGCCACCACTGTACACTGCCAAGCCAAAAATGTCGCCATCTGGATTTAAATAACCAAGTATTTAATACAAGTATTTCGTTTTAGAATGAAATCATTTTTGCATGTTACAGTATATGTTAATGCAACAATTCTTTTAACCCTAATGCAGTGCGTAGGTTTTTTATTTCTCAAACAACCATGTCAGAAACGTACCCATATCCATATTCCAGGATGACAATGTCAAGATTTATCAGGCTCAAATTGTGAAAGATTGGCCACCACAAAGTCCAGACCGTAACCCTATTAAAAGTCTTTGGGACGTCCACTTTACACTGTCTGCTAAAAAAAAATTGCACGCTCTAATATTTCATTGGAGGCCCTTTAGTTTTGATAACATTGTACATTCCTTGTTGCATTGTTTCCACAATGTCATGCAATGTCACAACATTTATTTCCACCAAGAGTTGCATTAATTTTTGGCTGAGATCTTGTATTGACAATGGGAGAGTCAAACCACTCTGTAAAGTCAACTCCGTCACATCCTAAAGACTTTCAATAGAGTTAAGCTCAGGGCTCTGTGGTGACCAACTCATACATGAAAATGATTCCCCATGCTCACTGAACCACTATTTCACAATTTGGGTCCAAAGAATCTTGACATTGTCATCCTGGAATATGAACATAATGTCTTCTGACATGGTTGTTTAAGAAATGGAAAGCTACACACTGCATCAGTTAGGGTTAAAAGAATTGTTGCCAATCATATGACAACATGCCAGAAAGAGTCCGAAACTCTTCAGTATTTACTTATTTTAATCCAAATTGTGACTTTTTTTTTGGCCAGGCAATTCATAAATGATCATACTACTTTCAATCATATCCTGTTTTTATTCTTCTGACAAAAATATATATACTGTATATTATTATTATTATTATTATTATTTACTTATTTATTTTTGTTCTTCATGAGATTTTTTTGTGAGATTCACCTTCACAGTCATGTAGTTCTCATCCTCGTGATTTTAGTTACACTTGAATACCCATCAATTTCAGAAACTGTTGGACATTCTGTGAAATAATCCACTATTGAACGACACCACATGCATGTGGTTGGAAAAGTGTTATTAAATTTAGCTCTTTGCAGGCTGGCAGTGTTTATGAATTGCTCCCTGTCTCCCGGCAGCTCCCACACAGTTATTTGGAGGATGGTGAGTTCTGGAAGTGGGCAGAGACTTCGGTGCTGGAGGGTTCTAGGAGGATGGAGAGCCTGTGTCAGAGTGTTCAGGGTGAGCTCAATGCTCCCATTGTGCAGGTCAGTTGCAACACAGACGCACTATTGTCTGTATTTGGGTGGAGACGTCTTCCTGCGGGACAGTTTGTTTCCCCTTACTGCAGCTTAATGCTGCCTGTGGACAGTGCTGGAATAAAACCACAGCCATTCATTCATCTTGATATAGTTTAGCCCTCATGTGTTTTGCATTAGTCTATCCATTAATTATAAACATACCTTAGTAAAATATATTATGTCCTGAGGTTACTGTGTTATGGGTGGCCCTGAACAGCTGCCTCTCATTTAGTGAAGTTCAAATGCAAATTACAGTGAAAATAAACTACCGGTCAAAAAGACACATCTGCTCATTCTTTATTATTAATACTACCTACATTTTAGAATAATAGCAAAGGTATTAAACTGTCCAATATTATTAAAAATGTAACTATGGGAAATACACTATCGTTCAAATGTTAGAGGTCTGTATTGATTTTGAAATAAGTCACAAAGGCTGCATTTGTTTGATCAAATATACAGGAAAAACAAAAATTATTAAATATTATTACAACTTGAAATAACTGTTTATTTTAATATATTTTAAAATGTAATACATTTTCTGCATCATTACTCCAGTGTCACATGATCCTTCAGAAATCAGTCTAAAATGCTGATTTGATGCTCAAAACCCCAAACTTTTTTTGGTAGTGTAATGTATGTGACCAAAAATATTTGGGACGGAGCATGATTTTATGCATCAGTAATAGATTGGTTTGTGATAAGTTATTTTCATTTTCATTCATGCATTCATGCAACCAACTGGACAAAGTGAAAATATTGGCCTATTCGAAGATCTGGAGAAAAAAAGTAATATCAGGCATTGGACAAATTAAATGCTTCAAAATGAATTATCAGAAAATAAAAGCTGTTTGAGAGGAGATTGTGAAAACAGATTATGAAAGCAACCTTACAGTAATTTGCACTGATGATTGCACTATTCTTCTATTGACAGCATAAGCAGAGACAGCACCATTGTTATGTTTCATATTTCAGAGCAATATTACTATTGTGTGTTGGTATGACTTCTCTGTCTTGATGTCATGTCATGTTATGTCATGTCATGGGCATTAGGCCATCACTACAGCTAATGTCAACCAGATGTCTTTATCCAGAGTCTAATCAATATCATGTCTGCCGTCATAAAGCCATCAGTCCTGATGAGTTTAGAGAGAAGACAGGAGGATCAAACAGAGAGGTGCTCTGTAATCTTCAGAAGGGCTGCGTGTTTGCTGACAGGGATCAGAATGTAGATCACGGATGTAAATCCTTGGAGTGTCTTGCTCTCATGCTCACTTCCTATCTCATTTTTTTGGGATCCAGCACTGTAATTACTGCACTTCTACTCATTTCATGTACATTTGCATTCTAAATGGAATTTATGCTGCTGTATGTAATTTCACATTAAGTATGAGTGGGTAGGAAATCGGGTTTTTTCATGTCTGTGTCGTCTCAGGCGCTCAATCCCGTGTGTGAGCGGCGTCTCAAGGCTCTGACCGCCAAACACGGCTCGGAGAAGATCTACCAGCTGACAGGCCCTGTGGTGGGCACCCGTGACCTTGACCTGACCGTCAACAAGGGAGAGCTGGTAGCTGTCATCAGTGAGATGGACACGCGAGGAGACCGTCGCCGCTGGCTGGTTGATGCAGGAGGTAAAACTGGCATGTGGAGAAAGAAGTCATAATCCAGTTAAAAATAACCGAGCTGGTTTTATTGTATTTTATTGCAAAATACAAACCTTTTGATAATAGTTTACACTCACGCTAATGCTCAATAAAACTCATCCGAAAATACAGATAACACTTGCTCTAATGCAACAAAAATCCATCTGATCGAACTGATTTCACTTGCTCTAAAGGGCTCATGAACTGAACTATTTTGTATTGTTCTCTGAGGTCCACTTATAATCTTATCAAGATTTACATCAAAAAACATAATAATTTAGAAGTAATAGGCTATTTTCTGTCATGTTTTTGACCCCCCTCATCCTCTTCAATCTAACTTTCAAAAACATATTGTTTTAAATTTATAGGCAAGGCTTAATGCTTAATCAAGCAAGCATTCAAGGATCGACTGGACAAAGTTTTATCATTTCTTTTTTATGTTTATTCATTAGGTTTGTGTGTGCACATTTCATTGCTGTTGAAAGTCTTTGATAGTGCTGCGAGTGACATCTGCTGGTTAAATACAGTTAAAGCACATCAAATCTGCTCTTATCAATATGCAGAACAGAAACACTGAAATGTGCAGATTTGAGTATCTTCATAGGTTTTCAATTTGTTTTATTTTCTTCAGGCCCGAGGGGATATGTGCCTGCCTCAAAACTGGCACGTTACCACCAGATAACCGTTGACCAGCCCCAGTCTCCTCATCTGAACGTCACACCCAGCGGTCCAGGGCCGCGAAGACACTCCTACACCCCCGGAGCCCAGCCGCTGCTGACCACCATGACTACGCCCTGTTTTCAGGTGACTGACACAGACATGCCTTTGACTGACGGGTCATAAGACCGCCGCGTTACTCGGCCTGATTCGTGTGTCAAACAGAACGAGACCTCTGGAGATTGATGGCAGGTCTGCAGTATCTCATAATCATCAATCACACACACTTCAGCATTTGTAAATTCAGTATTGGTGGAACAGAAATGAACTGCCGCTCCTTGTCAGCAGAAGTGAAATACTCTATCACGGCCACCTACACAAACACACGGCACACACACACACACCGATTCATTCATCTGCATGATCTGCCTGTCAAATGCTTCCCTATCATCGTGGCTTCATGTTTAAGAAAGCAGAAATGTCGGAGGTAGCTTCTGACTGTGAGAGTGGGAGATACATAGCTGTTGTGACTGTAAAAATATGACAAGTTTTTTCTAAACAATCTTCACGGGTTGTTTATCATTGTGAGAGTGCAAATGATAAACAGACCGGCTAACATTATGACTCACAGATGAATTAGATATCCCGGTTTTGTTGCCTCGAGTGGAAATTATATGTTTTTCAAAACCAATATTTTCTGAAGAAAATGTGACTGGTGTTTGCCTATGCAAAACTCCGCCACCGTGATGCTAGCACGATGTGAGTGATTGCAAGGTGTTGCTTTCAGAATATTGCTAAGTGGTTGCATACTGGCTCAAGTAAAAAAAAAAAAAAGAAAAAGAATCTTACTAAATATGATTCAGGGCCCTTTTGAAGATTTTTATTTTTTTTTCCAAATCTCTTTTTTTTTTTTGTAATTTAATTTTAATTTTATGTTTATTTTATTATTGATCATTTTCATGTTATTTTTTTTTTTGGTCAACAATTATATCACTGCACCGATGTTTAAAGTCAGCATGAAATGGAAATTCACCCTATATAATTTTTTTAATGCATATTATTGATCGTATTTTTAATTATTCTTCCATTCAACATTTTCACAACCAATTCCATCATACAATATTTTTTTTTTTTGAGAATACATTACACTCAAATGCATGCCACAATACAGAAGAAAATATCTGCTGCTACTTCAGTTTCATTGCAACTTTCATTTTTCCATGACTTTAACATTTTGGGTTAACCCTATGAGCAAATATGATCAATAAGTGATGCTAGCCTTAAAAAAATGCCACTTATGAACATGATTCATAACAAATTACTGATATTAACCACAAGGGGAGCACTTCAAATAATTTATCATTTCAGATTTTCTTCACAGCTCTTTTTTTGATGTGTCTCAATGTGTCTCAAGCACATTCAGGGCCGTTTTAACCATTGGGCTAGGCGGGGCTGAAGCCCCGGGGCCCGAGCAAGGAGGGGGCCCGTGATTGGCTGTGGAGTAGACTGACTGGAGCGCCGATCGCCAAAGCCACCACGCCCCCCACCGCTGCCCCGGTCATAGCCCCGGGGCCCAGTGCGGTCTTAATGCGGCCCTGAGCACATTGTGTAACACTGAATACCACTTACCTTTCAAATCTAAAAAGATGTTGTACATACTCAACAACAGAGCACTCAAAAAGCACATTCGTCCTCTAGACAGATTTTAACGTCTCAGTTGTTTAGTTTTGTTGTTTGTGTGGGTTTTGGCAATGACTAACTGTTAATCTTTTCTTCTAGCTTTTATAAGAGGCAAAATCTAGCAGAAGGCAACTTTTCCCATTACCAACCACACTGAACTCTCCGTTCTCTATCTGCAGGTGTACGCAGGCTATGACTTCACTGCGAGGAGCACTCACGAGCTTTCTCTGAGGGCCGGCGAGCAGGTGCGGGTGGTGGAGCCTCATGATAAGCGTGGAAACAAGGACTGGAGTCTGGTGGAGGCGCGTGGCCAGAGAGGCTACGTCCCCTCCAACTACCTCGCCATCCTCCCCTCTGTGATCGCCTCACCCACCTTCCCTTATCGCTAGAATATCCTCGAGAGCACATCATCTGCTGCTGATACGACTCTGCTAGCCAGTATCCAAACACACACAGACCATGAGAAACACTTTCCCTGAAGGGCTCTTCATGCGTGAGGGGGCGGATGGCTGCTGTTTGGCGCGTCATTTGACTGGTGTATGTACTGAAGTGTTGCTTGGGCCCTGCTGTGGAGTGCTCGTCCATATACTTGATCTCTGCTTTTTGCCTGGGGCTGTTACTGGTGGAGAGCGTTTTATCCAATGAGAGAAGTGCTGCAGGGGCAGCAGACATGCCGTTGTAGCACATGGCTGCTGGTGGAGTGTGCTGTTTCCTACAATTACCACTTGAATCCACACCTCAGCTGTCCATTGGAATGATGCGTTTGGCGGGCCTGGTACTACTTTGCTATTGAAATGGAGAATATTTGAGTTTCTACTGCTGACAATGGATCTCATTTTTATGAGTCAGACCTCTATTGCACTGGTTTGCAGCCCACTTGAGATGACTAACATGCAGACTTGAAGACAGGATTTTTGCAAAATGCTTGTTTGTGCACCATTTTAATAATACTTGATGGACAGTTTCTAGTTATTTAAATTTGTACTGTGGATCTAAGATGTATTTGGACACTTGGGGTATGCTTAATGTATGCATGTCATTAATGCATAGATAACGAAATATCAATCCAAGTGATGTTTAGTTAAAAAAATGATCCAATAAATCTTTTTAAGCAGAACTTTTTTTTTTCTTTTTTTTTACAATAAAAAGCTTGGTAAATTCAAAATGATTAAACAATAGATATACTGCTTAAAATTAAAGCAAATAAAAAGCTGTTGACCAATACAATACCAATATCACCTGATATTTTATGTTTGATTTAATAAGTGTTGGAAGACTTTTATTTTGACAGTGATGAAAAGGCCAACACTTGGAGACACATAAAAGCGACAATTTTTCAAATCGGATGCATAAATGCATAAACTTTAAATTTTTGATTTATATATATATATATATATATATATATATATAAATTGATTGTTTTAGCCTATGTCCAGTTGGCTGATATGTCATATTCATGTGTAAATTTAATGTGTACTATATATGAAATTAGCATTAGCTGGTCTTTATTTGAGAAAATATGATTCCCAGTGTGCACAAACTTACAAGATTACGGAGTGCATTTCAGTGTTTACTTTTTTTTTTTTAACAATTTTTTGAAGTACTGTAATTCAATTACATAATGTATGAAGTAAAAATCTGTTATTTTACAGATTTTTTTATTTAAGTTTAATCAAGTTACATTTTTCATATTGATTCCTTTTTTTTAATTATTATTACCTAAAATAAATATAAATTTAATTGCTCTCAAACATATCAGCTTTGAGAAAATCAATTATCAGTCGAGCATTGAAAAAAGCATTTAATACCTTCTGGTTGTAAAACATTAGTAGTTCATGCTTAATGTAATGAAATACACATAAGGTTATGATTTGTTTTCAGATGCTTTTTGAATTGATATTTACTTATTTATGCAATGGCATTCATACATATTTAATTGTGTCTTAAGTGTCCAGATACTCTTTGGAGCCGCTGTGTGGGTGGATGTCAAACACACGCTAACGATGATGAATCATTGAGCTATTCTCATTGCTTGCATGCAGATTCAGTTCTGGCTGCTGCATTGTGCTTGTATTGTGACCTCAGAATCTCTGCGATGAAGAACCTACTCAACCCATATCAAAAGATTCAAGAGTGCAGATGATTTACTGCAGCGTCCGTCATGAATCTGCCTGCAGTTGCATCGGCTGTCCACTAGAGGCGCCAGAGCATCCTCTGTGAAGCCTGCCATTGCTACCTTAATCCTGCAAACAGAGTCATATATTATTCATCTGATCCTCACAATCGCCTTAACAGGGATCCAGTGAGAGGCAGTTCATCCAACCCCTGAATAAGGCATCATCTGTACAAGTCACTTTGAAGAGACATTTATTTTATTTATTCCAAATGTCATTAAATCGATGCAGTCTTGAATGAACAAGACTGCAGTCCATCTCGTATTTTCACACTTCTGCTATTCTGAGATGCGTGACCAGAAACAAAAGCAGCTTCGGCTGAGGGTTTCCGCCTGACCTCTGAGTGCTCTATTTATGCCCAGCAGATTAAAACATTGACGTGAACCAGGCGGAGTATTTCCGTCTGCTGCAGAGCTTTGTTTTGGAGATGTGCATTGGGTTTGAGGCCGCTTTTAGCCCGAGTGCAGCTATTCCTCTGAGAATGTGCAAATGTCACGGCAGGGCTGATGATGACTGTGTTTTGTCCTTTTGTCACGCTGCAGGCAGAGCAGAGATGCGACGTCCAAGAGAGCGCCGCCTGTCAATCGCTCCTGCTTCCGTCAAGAGCTGCTTGTCAGCAGAGCTTTGATGCACTGAACCCCCACAGCTTCCGCTTCCTCTATGCGACAGAACTCAAAGCTCTATAAATACATTTCTCTATTCAATAGTCTAAAAATAGCCTGCTTGTCGGCAGGAGCCCTCTATGGCTCCCCCTGTTGGAGCAGTTGGGGACCGCAGCGGCCCTTCCTCTCTCACTCCTGTGGGAGGTGCGTCTCTCACATTACATCGAATCGTGCCCTGGCCTTACTCTCTGTCTCAGCTGATGAGCCATGGGGAAATGCTACGGTAATTAGATATATTATGTATCCCTCACAGCATTACATACTATGAAGCATTTCCTTGTGGGAGAGCAAGCAAACCTAACACCTCTATTCCAGCTCCCTGCATTAGATGTCTGTTTGAGCTCGTATTAGAGAGAGAAGAGAGGATGAGCCAGGCAGTAGGGGTTTTAGAAATCTGCAGCAAACCTAATTTCCACAATTTAATTTATTGGCTATTTTGGTGGCACTGCAAAAAAAAAGTGCTTTTTTTTCCCCAGCTAATTTTACAGTAATAATATCTGAACATGCTTTAAACAAGATTAAATAACTTGACATTAACATGTTTTTTAGAGTTTATTATTCTTACCTCAGTGGATTATTCATTAATTCATTCATTTTTGTATTTATTTAATTAATTATTTTTGGTTGGTTGGATGTTTTAAGCATAAAACTAACAAAATGTTAAGGGATTTATGGTTAAAACAAACAAAAATGTCTTTGTCTAATGACTAATATTTTTATTATTTATTATTAATATAGTTTACTGTAAGGAAAGACAAAAATACTGATATATACATACACAATTTATTTATCTTTATTTTATTTTATTTATTTATTTTTGGGGGTGAGGGATTGGAAACAGATCCTTTTTCAATATCCAGGGAGATGTTTTTTTCCCGGCACAATCAGGAATCTTCTTGCTACGGAAGGTCATCATAGAAAAAGCTGTCAAAAGCTGCTGTGTAGAAATAGACACCGTGGCCTTGTCCGGCTTAGTGCCGGGACTGTATTTAGTAACTTTTTGGCACTGGAGTCATGATTGTGTTAGTGCTGTCAGCTGATCTGTGGCACAACCAACTTTAACCTTATCCGAAGCTCATCTTGGCCAGAGCTCAGGCCCGGCTGAAGCCCCTCATCACAGAGAAATGAAGAGTTTATAGTGCAAAGATGCACGTGAGCTGCTTTTCCCATGAGAAATACAGCAACACTCCTTGAGTGACCTCTGTGAGAGAGAGAATGTAGACTCAACAGATCACGCAGCTGTTTAAAGGTCTAAACTATAAGCTTATGAAGTTCATAGGTCAGCGTTTAGGGTTTCTTGTCCAGACGAACATGCCTATCTGACATTAGAGGCTCGTGTATTTATAGAGCACACAACGTGAAAGTCTTGGCATTTTTACATGGAGATGCATTACAAATCGTGTCACATTATAGAACGATCACGTTGTGTCATATTGACATATAGAGATGATGAATGTGTATTTTCTGGGCCGTCGTGGACGGTTTACATGTTGACCTTTATAAGCGCTGGGTCATTGAACTTTAGCTTTCATAAATCCTGTTGGCCTTTAAGTGTGTGACCAGGTAGTCGTGAATCCCGTCCAGTACAAGCAGATTCAATAAATCAGCTCAATGAGGCTGCGATGGAGATCCAAACATCTTGGCTGATTTTCCCTGAGAGGTTGGCATGATGTTTTCTCTCGATACCGAAAAAAACACACTGCGAAATGTAGCATCTGAGTGTCGTTTCCCTTGATTTTGTAGGTGTGAGTTCTTGAAAGTTTTGAAAGCATGCATACGTAACCCTCCCCTATAGGTTCCTGTGGATCTCTCCACCTCCCCTCGCTCTTTTCGCTCAGGCTCTTGTAAACAGTGCTGGCCCTGAATCTCAATGATGTCAGGCGTCAACAGGGCGGTGGAGGACTTTGAGCTTTGGAGTAAAGGGTGTGTGTATGTTTAGGGTCATGTTGACGAGTGCTCTAGTTCGCAGCGCGTGTCTGCTTTGGAAATTTGATATGATACTTTATCTTTCTTGTCTGATGCTCAACTTACAGGCTGTTGCTTATTTTTAACTGTGAAGTTCAAATGTATTGCATCTGAATGCTTTGATCTGAGCAGCTCTCAAACTCAGCCAGTGTTGCTGATTTTGGTTTTACTGGTTTTACTACTTTTGGTTTCAGGCACGAATGATGCATGTGCTCTTAGTTTGGGTTGCTTTTAACATACATTTGGGAATGCAACATGCGCCAAACTATCTTCCCTTTGTGCTGTAAAATAAAATTAATATTATATATTTTTTCTTAAATACTACATACTTAAATATGTAGTATATAAATATGACAACAGTAATGTCTTAATTTGTTTAATATTTTTATTAAGCAATGTAATAATTAGTAGTACTTGCAGTAGTATAATAATAATAATAATAATTAGTGCTGTCAAATGATTAATCACGATTAATCGCATCCAAAATACATTTTTGTTTACATAATATATGTATGTGTGCTGTGTATATTTATTATGTACATATAAATACACACACATGCATGTATATATTTCAGAAAAATGTTATGTTTATATATTAACTTTATTTATAATATAAATTATATGAGCATAAATATAGACGTAAATATTTTCAAAATGTATACTGTATGTGTGCGCATTTATATATACATAATAAATATACACAGAACACATATATATATAATGCAAACAAAAACTCTTTAAACTCATTCATCGCGATTAATCGTTTGACAGCACTAATAATGATTTATTAATATTAATTTCAGTTATGTATATAATATAATGATTAATTATATTGTTATTATTATTCATATTCTTATTATTTTATAGTCAATTACACTTTATAGTTATATAATCAAAAAGGTGCAGCCCCACAGCAAACAAGATTAATACACATTTTAAATCAAAATCACAATTTTTATTAAATATTTCCCCAAATTCAATCCTAATATCAGACTTATTTTAGTCTACTAGCACAGAAACCTCATTAAGAACATCTAGTAATTGTTAGTGCTTATATAAACAGGCTGTTGTCAACAAAAAATAAGCTTTAAGGGCCCCTCGTGCTGTAAAATAAAATAATTATTATATTTTATTTTCTGAAATTATACACTTAATTTGCATTGAAATATTACAATAGTGATGTCTTCGTTTAGTTTTTTATGAAGTAATATAATAATAATTAGTAGTAGTAATTATTCATATTATTGATAGTATGAATATTTTTTAGTCAATTAAATTTTATAGTTATATAATCAAAAAAGGTGCA